AATTCTCACCAGACTTATTCAACCTCAGGCAATTCTAAGGGAACTAGAAGTCCTACCAGGATTTATTATTGGTAGAAACAGTTTTAGCAATATAAGATATACAGATGAAACAGTGTTTATGACAAAGAAAACTAAAGGGAGTGGTAGACAAGGTAGTAAAGAAAGAGAGAAGAAAGGACAAACAATCAATTATAAGAAGGCAGAATGTTAGCAAGAAGGACGGCCCAATGTACAAGATACAAACTAGAGATGTCAGAATCAAGCAAGTACAGAATTTTAACTATCTGAGAAGTGTTTTAATAGATGGCAGAAAAAAATGACTCAGAAATTCAAAGGCACATTGTAATAGAGAAACATGCCTTCCAAACACTAAACGATGTATTCAGAAACAGAAAAATATTGTCAGAAATGAATGAATGAGTGCTGAACTGCTATATAATATCAGTTCTCCAGTATGGTAGAGAATGCTGAGCAATTTCCTAAGACATGAAAAGGAAACTTGAGGCAACAGAGACATGCTTCTACAGAAGGATACTGAGAATACTGTGAACATTTTAAGGAAAATGGAAACAAAAACAATCCTTTTATTTAGAATCAAAAAGAGACAATTTAAATTTATGAAACACATATTGAGGAAAGAGGGTTTGGAGAATTTGACACTAACAGGACAGATTGAAGGCAAGAGGAGCAGAGGGAAACAGTGAGTAACTTACCTAAAGAGTTTGTGTAAATGGATGGCAGAAAAGAGATTGAAAGGGATAGCGCTACAAAGGAAATTGTAGAGAGCCATGATTACCAAGAGACATGGCACATAAAAGCAGAAAAAAAACTATCTGAATGCATACAACCTGTCATTTTAGTGCATTCTAGGACTACTGCAAATAGCATCAAGAAGTAAAAAAAAAAAAAAGACACTGTTACTGAGAGAAGACATTAAAAGGTTGTATATGTATTTAGCAGGACATCGGAATTAAAGTTCAAATGTTGAAACAATGATTAACATTGCTATTTTGAGATTTTTATTTTCGATGCTTAATTTATCAGCTTGAGTAAAGACTATCAAATATAGATACAGTAGCTGGATGTCTGTTAGTAAGTTACAAAAAAATAATCAATGAGAGATTAAAAGGAGTACAGAGGTATCCAAATTTTGACTTTTCAAATAAAATAATGACATCAGAATTTATTAAAACCAGAGGAAATCCTCATACATTCAAAGTTGAATAAAATAAATAGTTTCTTTCACTAGTTAATTATCTAAGATTTAAAATACATTTTTCTTAAATAGGCAGCTTAATAAATTTATGAGATTAAAGTAAAATTCCTTTTCTAAACATCTAAAGAAATCAATAACTTTTGTAATCTAGTGATAAGAATGACAAGGGAAAGATTTCCTGATAATTTATTAAAAACAAATACTTTTGGTTAAAACGTTAAATCATACTTATTATAAAATCCAGGTTGTGTGTGTGTGTGTGTGTGTGTGTGTGTCTGTACGTTTATACATTGGATCGGATTTTCTACATTTTTCAACCGATTTCAACAAAACTTCACAGGACTACGTAAAATTACCTTGCAGTGGTTCTGACAGCACCAAAAATTGGAAAAACACAATTGTTTTTTCACAAAATCAATTTGAAAACACAATTAAGAGGCATCGCGAGAATGAAAGGGGGACAACTCATATCGAGTTATACTTATTATAAAACCCAGGTTGTTTGTGTGTGTGTGTGTGTGTGTGTGTGTGTGTGTGTGTGTGCGTGTGTTCGTTTATATATGGGATCGGATTTCCTACATTTTTCAACCGATTTCAACAAAACTTCACTTTTTTTTGGCAGGTAGTGTTTTTTATTGTCTTGCACACTTTTTTCTTTATTTTTACATTCAAAATGCTTTAAAAATTCCATTTACAAGACAATTGTTTATAATAAAATTCTATTCAATTGGTAGACTCATAACGCGATTGAAAACAATGTTTTTGTTTGAGTTTGTGTTTGACCAATTCGTAAAAAAAAACAAAACAAAAAAAAACTGATTAAGACATGCATGTCTGTCAACCTTAAACAATAATCTTTGTCAATTTTATTTTTCAGTCTTTATGATGGCCGATACTTGATCTATCTCTTACTGTTACATCCCTGGGCAACACTGGGCTCTACTGCTAGTTCTTATTAAATCACTGAAATTAATAATATAACAACAAATAACCTATATTAGTTTTAGTATTTTAGTTTTTATATTAGTCTCTTAATCTCTTTTGATAAACCAAGACACATTTGGGGGATTACCTTTAACATATCTGCCACAAAATATCATTCAATTCAGAACTATATAAGGAAGGACTTAAACCCCACTCTTCCTCTTTTCCCTGGGTGGCCAACTACTAAACTTTAAACGCAGCCATGTGGCACATTACACAAATATAATTTTAATAACAAATCATATCTTCATTTTTCTGCTACATGTGTAAGCAAAAGTATATTTTCTCTCTTCTTGAATTATGTTATTCTTTATATAAAAATATATATGCAAAATTCCTTCATGTGTTGAAATTCATTTCTTCTGAAGATGTTGTATTTATTTACTTAGAAAATGTTCTACTTCAGTTGTAACTCCTCCTGCTACAAATTGGTGAGCAACAACAACTTCATCCATTACTATTCTGTAGCAGTAATTCACTATGGCCCAAATCTTTTTAACCTTTGTCACTCTCTGTGTGACTTTATTTGCTGTACAAAAAGTTTATCCTGCCACTGAACACTAGTGTGTTTTGAAGTTCATAGAACTTCTATGGCAACAGAAAACAAACTTTGAGTGAAATTAACAATAAGGATACTTCAATTGAGAGGCCTAGAAAAAGAATGCAGTAGAAAGGGAAGTAATATTAATAATGCAGAGTACTAAAGATTAATAGTTACTTCAGATCTGCTAAATATCTATTTTACTAAAACAATACACATTTTAAATACGTACTTACAAATTGCATGTCAACTGACTGCAGCAAGGATGGTGTTTGAAAAACTTATCAGAGGCTAAGATGTCATCAACTAATTTCAATTTTAACCAATTCTGTACTGAGTTGGTTGGTCAACTTGACACCCCCAAAGCGAGTGGACGTGGAAAGGCACAGAAACTGTGATTGGTAGCTGGTTTGTTGGTGTTTTGCATAGGCGAGTTACCAAGCTTTATGTAAAGGGCTGGAATGAGGAGGGCAGTTCGTCTCAGATGTGGAGACTGTGTCCATCGCTACGACAGTAGGAGAGAGACAAAATTTATTATTTTTTGATTTTTCGTGACACATTTCAACACAGTCACATGACTAGTTAAAGAACAACTCAAGTTTTTAGGCTGCAAATTAACCAACTGCACTTTCAGACTAACAGAAAATAATCAGAATCATTGATTATTTAAGTGCATTATCATCTTAAAGTTCAGTAGGTAACAAAATTCTGTAAATCTTTCCTATATAAAAATTAGCTGATGACATAAAACCAAAGCTAGGCACCTACAAGAAAGAGACTCCAGGTAAAAATTAAGGGAGTTAAGAGAAACCCTTAAAAACCCAACATTGTTTTAAATAAAAATACAAAGTAATAATAGAAAGTATAAACAAGCATCTCTCTGACTAAAAGAATCCTTTCTTATTTACCAATCATTTTTAGCAACTCTTTTAGATTGAGTGATTGATTTGTTTTTTGGGGTTTTTTTTATGGCTTATCAACACTTTGTGAGTTATTTAAAACACAAACATTTTTTGGAGTGTAAGAATAATTTTTTTTATTGGCAAGTAAATATCACATTTACAATTTTTTTAGAGATAATAATGATTCTCTAAGATAGAAGTCCTACTATTTAACCCATAGCTGGAGGGGGAAGAGATGGATTCATACTTTTCCCAAGAATATTTGCACGTAAGTGAATGTAACAAACTCGATTCTCCAATTTCTCATTCCGAGTCACTATCCAATACACCACCCACACATCCAGTCTTTTGGGAGCTTGCTTTCAACAAACATTTGAAACCATAACACAACTTAGAAATTTTATATCATTTTCCATTTTACTATGAATATCTAACTTGTCTTAAGAAAAATGAAAATGACTCTACTGATAACATTTTTTTTAATGCCATGTCCATTCAAGATGTAGCTAAACATGGCTCTCTGCAGATTCCATTTTATTACTACCTGTTAATTACCATGTCTTCTTGGGAAAGATATTGCCTTCTCTATGATTTAGTATTCAGAGGTTTTTTTGGGGTGGGGGGTTCTTTTAGACTGGTTGCAACCCAATGTTAGAGAACCCAGTTGACCTTATTTTGGGGAGAAAAGATGGATTCATCACTTTCACAAATGAATACTTTGTGAAAATGAATACAAGAAACAAGCCTGTAATTTGAACCCGGCTTGCCAATTTTACTGTGCTGATAGCCATCACATTACTTACATGTCCTTCAATGATACTAATGATATAAATTCCCAACTAAATGTTGTGACCTAATTTGAATAAAATATAAAAAGAGAAGTATCTGTATTAATTGCAGGTGCATGCAAATGAGATACCTCCCCCCACACCTACACATACATACATACATCTACACATACATATAGAGATGAAAAGGTACTGTCTGTAAGATATGAAATAAAGTAGTTTGTTGTTAACTGATGGAAGTTGTGTAATGTTTTTTGCTTTGGTCCAAACCCCATACAGGGAACAGACCTTTGATATTTTGATTGATTCATCTTATACAACTTATCAACCTTTTACAAGTTATTTAAAAGCAGAAAATATTTTTAGATTGTAAGAATTTTTGTGGGGAGATAATGATTTAATGACACATGTTTTACTAATTAGCTCATAACTGGAAGAAAAGAGGTGGATTTATATCTTTCCCAAGAATATTTGTGCATAAGTGAATATAATGAACCCAACTGGAATTGGAACAGCTCTCCAATTAACAATTATGAGCCATTATCCATTACACCACTAGCACATCTAAGCTTACAGTACCTGATATTCCCAAGCAGTCACCCATCTAGGTACTGACCAGGGTTGATGTTGCTTAACTCCGGTGATCGTACAGGAACTGGTGTTTCAATATGATCTGGCCATACGCCACATAAGTTTAAGGGATATAAACCTAAATAACATTTGTCCCAACATTGATATGCTAACATCACATCATCAAGTTCATCTACCAAACATATAAAAGAAATTGTAATGGAATTTTGAATAAATGCATAATTGTTACTTCTGGGAATGTTGCAACAATATTTTCTTCAATGAGTTGATTATAAAATCTTTTCTTCAAAAGATCACCTTTAAAATTATCATCACAGTAAAACCCATTTCCCAAAGAGGAAACATTGGGAGCATCTTGATACTCTGTTGATATTCCCATAGAAAATGTTCTGACAAGCTACATTCCTTAGTTCCACCAACTCTAACTTTCACAGCTAAGACTTGCAATGAAACATACACACAGGTGAACCACTCACATTCGCTTCATATTCCATTGGTAAAAAAGAAGTTCCACTCAAACAGTTTTTTTTTTCATAGACTGCTACTTTGTGGAACTGATTCCCAAGAAAATGCTTTCCTACTACAATCTTAACCACTTTGAGTCTAGGGTTAGTCATTATGTTTCCTAAATATCCTCATAAACTGTGCCTCTTACCTATTTCTCTTACTGCTCATACAACAACCTCCTTCAGTAACTATCTACCTTGAGTGGCTCTTGCGTGAACATTAGTAAAAAAAAAAAATTTAATAAAGATAACTGTTGTTGAATTAATAGATCCAAGAAGAGCAAAAGAAAAAGAACAACCTCCTCTTGGAACAAGTGCTCTTTAAACCTGTGTTAGTCACCATGGATTTCCGAAAATGGATAGTCTACCTCCCACAACAACTGAGCTACAACTGTATCACACAGTGTGCTGCACATCCTCACTGAGTCAGTAATGTGAAGGAGCAAAACAAACAAGTTGCCAACTAGAAATTACGAGTACTTTAAAAATTTCGGAGTAGCAAAACACCTCATTTGACTAACACATGGTTAAAATAATGGCTAAATCCTGGTACTAGTTAGACCAGGATACACAGATTGTTCTTTTTTACAATGTTTGCTAGAATTAAGAAAAAAATGAAACTCACTTATACTTTAAAATTCCTTCTAGTTTTTGAGTCCAAATAATAACACATTTATCTGCAGATCCTGAAGCAAATCTCCTACCATCTTTGGCATAGCACACACAGTATACTGTATCTTTATGGCCTTTGAGTGGCTGTATAAGGGATCCATCCAAGGTGCTGTAGACAAGAACTCGGTTACCTGATGCAACAACAATCTGACTGCCATCTGGCTTGAAACAAATATCCAAGATGCTGAAAGAATAACAAAAATGAAAGAATGGCTAGATAGGAATAATAATACAAAGATAATATCATGTAGATAAATAGAAAACAGAAAAAAAGAGATGTACAATATATGAAGAGAAATAAGTGAAGAAATAAACTTATATAAGCCATCGTCAGTTGTGCATGAGAAAAGAAAATTAAATGTGTTTTAAGAATTAGATTTTCATCTAGATTTCTGGAATGAGGCATTATTATTTATACTATTTACATTGTTTGGACTGTTGTCCTCATCTTCGGCCATTGCACACTCTGGCCTTCTTTAGATGATTGGAATTTCAAACTGAATCCGTTACTTCATCCACTGGAGTAGATTATTCTAGTTCCATGTGCCATGCCTCTTCAGTATTAATTATCTCCTTTTAACTCAACAAGTTTTTGTTCATCTCTGCTGTAACCAGGTATTGAATTCACAACTCTTTGGGTTAAGTCACTAGATTCAACCAACACTTTAATCCACTGGGCCATATTTCAGCCATTGTGCCGGTTGGCCTTCATTAGGTGTATATTGATCTGGTAACCTACAGAGAATTCTGAACTAAACCCCTTTATTTAATCTACAGGGTAGAATGTTCTTGTTCCACTGCCTATCTCTAGGGATACCTTACAAGAAGTTGTCAGCAGACATATTTTTTGTTTGTTAATTTTATAGGAGTTCAGATTTTTAAAAGTATATCAGTAATTTTTGTTTTTCTTTTCTTTTTATTACCCAGATCCAAAGCATATTCACCATTGTTGTTTTTCTTTTTTTATTTCAGAACAAAATAAAGGGTTCAGTTCGAAATTTTAATCACCTGAAGAAGGCCTGAAGGCCTAAGTGTACAACAGCCGAAATATTGTGAATATGGCAATCAAGATGAGGACAACAGCCCAAATAGTGTAAATAATTACAATACCTCATCTCAGAAATATAGACAGATAAGTCAATGTTCATTTGTTCTTTTTATTCTTCTGATATTAAATCAAAGGCATTTCATCAAATTGTTGCTGACTCCTTTAAATCTGGACGCAAAAAGTAAAAACAATTTCCTAATCTGATTCTGTTTAGGCTCAAGATTAATTAGTTAATATAATGGTTAGTGGCTCAGAATGAGAACTTGGCAAGCCAACTTCAAATATGAAGTTGGCTTGCATTCACTTTCATGCAAATACCCTTGGGAAAAGTATGAATCTATCTCTTCTTCCCACTTTGAGTTAAATAGGGTTAAATAGCAGGACAGACTGAGAACCCTAGTCAAGGCTGGTAACCAGTCTAAGAGAAGGATAACTTTGAATTCAAAACCATATGTAGCTCTGGTGTAGCATACATGATGCAGCTCTCAACAAACTCATAGAGTTCACAATGATCTCAACTGCAGTCAACCTATGTCTGTGTCGATGCATTATTATTAATTTTGTGTGTATATATACATATACATATATGGTATAAGAGGACAATTGGAAAAAATCTTAAATTTTTGCCAACGTGTTTCGACTTCTGACTTTTTCAAGGCATAAATAAAATTGAAATGTCTTTGTCATTATAGTTACATTACAAAATCCAAATTTAAAAAGGAGAGACAAATTGGTATTAAGATGACAATTAGAAAAAAAAAAGAAGTGTCTCTCTTTTTTAAATTTGGATTTTGTTTCTTTGAAGTTCTTATGTACTCTTTCTCTCTATATTGTCTTCTGAGACCGACATGACTACAAGGATACATATATATACACAATGTATAAATATACACATAACAAAATACACACACATATATTGAGGCTGATTTAATTTAAAAAATGTGTGTGTGTATATATATATATATATATATATATATATATATATATATAGTGTGTGTGTGTGTGTGTGTGTAGTTAAATTCCCAGATCAAATCTGTGAACAAAACAAATTTGGTATAAGATGACAATTGAAAAAAAAAATCTTAGTTTTTTGCAGGCATGTTTCGTCTTCTGACTCTTTCAAGGCAAAAATGAAATCAAAATGTTTTTCTTGTTATAGTTACATTACAAAATCCAAATTTAAAAAAGAGAGATGCTTCTGCATAAGCCTCCTTCTGGTTAATGTAAATTTCCTTTATACTAAGAGTTTTTTTTTTCTTTACATTTCGACAATATAGTTAAATTCCCAGACCAATTCCTTGGACAAGACAAACTGGCATAAGATAACAACTGGAAAAAAATCTTTTTTTTTTTTTTTTTTGTCGACGCATTTTGTCTTCTGACAATTGTCATCTTATTCCATTTTGTCTTGTCCACAGAATTGATCTCTGAACTTTTATATATATATATATATATATATGCATGCATGCATGTTTCATTAAATATGACAGACAAGGTGCTTTGATTTAGTTTTTTATGCAATTTTTCAAGTGATCTTATAATTTTTTTTCTTTTCAGAGAATAAATTATATAAAAACTGTCCAATCTTGACTGTGTTTTGAAAATGAAACATTATATAAATATATACAATCTATTTTTTGTTAACAGTTAATATAGTTTAACCTTGAAAATGTCTAAATGTATAGCTGAAAGTGTTCAGAAAGAAAGAACAATTGTACAGTTTTTATATAATTTATCCTCTGAAAAGAAAAAAATTATAAGCTCATATGAGAAATTGTATAAAAAAACAAATCAAAGCACCTTGTCTGTCATATTTAATGAAATGTGCATGAAAGAAGGATTGAGTGCCGACACAACTACATATATATATATATATATATATATATATATGTATGTATGTATGTATGTATGTATTCAAATTATTATTGTTGTAGGCTGCTCTTTTGCAAAGTCAGCATTTTCACAGTTTGATTTTAAATACATCTTTGAACCGTCTTCCATTATTATAACCAAACACAACCACATGACGTTGTTAGTGCAAGGGAGATAATTCTTGTATAGTAAATAATGAAATAATAATATACAAATACACGTGAGATAGATTTTTTTTTTATGCATCTGTTATTTGCAGTGCTGAATCTAAGGCCTCAAAATCTAGGGTCCTCCAGCCAATGACACTGTCATAGGTCTTTCTTTACACATGCTATGCATTGTAGACTCTGAAATTCTCTAAACAACCCTTCAGTAATTTTAAACACCCGTCATTATCCTCGGCTTTTACTCAAATTGTTTATTAACACTCTTCCACTACTCATGAGAATGGAGGTTTTAAAGGGGCCTTACAAGTGGAATAGCCTAGGGCCTCTCTTCATCTAAAAATCCAGGCCTGGCTATGTTTATCTTTTATTTCATTTATTTATATGTATACAGTACACATATTTCGATAAAAAAAAAAGTTTCTTTCTTTTCTTGAACTGAGTATGATGTAAGTAAGTAAAGAATATCAATAAATATTCAAAATATTAAAAAAACGAGTAACAATATTTTATTGACTATCAAATAAATACATTGTACAACAATTATGAAAGCTAGAATGATGATTTCAATCGGCATTCCAAATAACTGAAATAAATTATATTGCATTTTGAAAGTTATTTTTCGTTTTATTTCGAATATATTCGAATCCCAAAGCGTGGTCAGAATATGAGGCTGTAGTAGTTCAAAAGATTTCAGAGGAATGTAAGGGAGGTAAATCCGTGTTTTGAGAAATCGTTTTAAAAAGGTAAGCTTAACAAAGTAAGCAAAAAAATATAAGTAAGTATCTCTTGTTTTATTTTTTCGGACACTTGACATTGACATGTGTTTTACTTTTTACTTCATACATTATCTCTTCAGTGAATGAGATACAACTTTTTTTTTCTTTTTTCTTTTTACTTCATACATTAACTTTCTTCTTTTGAAAAAGAAAATAGTTTTTTTAAATAAATTTTAAAATGGGGGTTTTTATTTTCATTTTGTTTTTTGAGGGGGTCAAAACTTAATAAAAATAGGTTTTCTTTGTCACTGTTAGTGTACAATATACAGTTATTTTTTATTTTTACTTTTAGTAAAAAAAATACAAGATTTCAATATTTTACACTGAAAACTCAAAAGTTTAAAAATTTCATTTTTTTTATTTTTTTAAGAATAAGAAACTTTTGATTTAAAAAAAGCAACACATTTCTTAATTTCAATATAAATACATTGTCTTTAAATTAAAACATCTTCATAAATCTCCATTTATTAATTAATAATATAATTGACAATTCAATTAAATGACGAGTCAAAATTCGAATTAAAAAGTTAAACAAAAAAAAAAGTTTATCTCCGCCAGTATCCACGTGGACAAAGATTTTATTAAAATAAGCGCAAATTCATTATTACTTTCTTCAGTTAATTTGCTTAAACATAAAACAAAATAAATTACCTATCATCGGTAACTGATTCCCAAGCACAAATTGGTCTCATGTTTCTGAAAGTGTAGTAAGTAGGTAATGGCTACAGAAAGTTTTTTTTGTTGACGTTTCCTGTTATGTTGGTTACCACGCATGCGCACTTTCGACTAATTACTGACGCGAAGAGATTCTTCTCTCCCTTGCAACAGGTTCTCTGAAACTGAAAATTCAAGCAGTACTTTTTAGCATGTAATCTTGCAAACGATCCTCGACGAGTGCTCCACACTTGTAACCGTGTGCCAGACTTAATTTAAAAAAACTCACACTTGCGAACTATCGTGGCCACAAGGAGAATGCGCTATCGTAACAGCAAGTACAGATGAAAACTTTATATGTATATCTGGAAAATCTTACACCAATTGTTTTCAGCTTATTCCTAGATGCTAACATGAAAATGAATTTGGTTAATTTAGTAAAAAAAAATTAATTAAAAACTAATAAATATCATGGAATAGAGTTGTGGATTAATAATTTAGAACAGATCCTCTACAAAGACTTTGGGTTCCTGTGGTTTAATCAGTTAACATAGCTGATGTGTTCAACCAGGCTTCCCTGGGGAAAAATGGACAGCAGTTTGCTGCCAGTACAGGATCTAAATTATTCTAATATCCGAATATGTCAATGTCACCTAGCAGTTCCAACAGTTCTTTGTGATGTACTTTACTTGATGAAACGATTTTGCATCATCTAAAACATAAGTATGCATCATTTTGCATTTATGTTGCTCTTTCTGTGATCATTCTGTGTATAAATATTGCATTCAGCTGTCAATATACTCAATGAAAAAACGGCATTGAACCTTTATAATCCCAGCCCCAAAATTGACACCGCTGTTATATTAACTACCTACACCCCTCGGCAATGTTTATTCTTTCAAAAAGGCTTGATTAGAATTGTAATAAAACCTAAATATATTATGAAAATTAATTTATACATTATTTTTTGGTGTTGTTGTTCTTGAGAATTTACAACAAAAAATCTCAAGTAGTGGTCTGTAGAATTCAAATCCTGCACAGTTCCCAAAATCAGCACAACTAAACATAATACAGGCTCCAAACTGAGTTTTTGCAAAGACACTTTCTGATTGGTTAACAAATATTAAAAAATACATTTCTCATGTTCTCAACTACATCTGAATCAAATCAACTTAGTTTCTGACCTTAGTTAAAACACAAATTGCGCCAATCAGTTTGGAGCCGATCACGTGACACAAGTTTTCAATAAATATGAAACGTTGTTCCTCCTCGGCAGCGAAACCAACCAAGTTTTTCAACTCGACAATGAACCTATGTCACCGAATTTCAGGCCTAATGTTAATTACTTAAATTAACATAAACCCAGCTTGCAAAATAACACTTACTCAAACAATTTATTTCACTACAAATATCGCAAGTTAAAACTCCAGTCAAAGAGCGACAACTTTGTAGAAATCACAGTAAGTCGAGAACAATGCTTCTAATTTAATACAAAAACAGAACTGCATAATTTTCCCACAATTATGATAATACTTAAGCACACTTTCTCATTTTCATACATGCAGTTCAACAACATCAAATCTTTTAAACCAAAACTTTAATAACATTACAAACCAAACAAAACAAAACTTTGAAACAATTTAAACTACTTGAACAACAAATATTTGTACATTTATTGTGTTATATAAATGTTTATTAATTGTTGAACCAATGCATTGTTTTTACGTTATTATTTTTCTTGTTGCTTACCCATTTTTGTTGCATTTGTGAATTAAAATATGTAGGGATTTGAACATATCCACATTCAACCCCTAAAGGGTCTATAGAGCTCAGTACTGAGAAATGTGAGAAAGGAAGACATTTTAAATATGTAAAAACAGATAAAACATGAAATAAACATTTTATTCAAATTAAATTTAAACTAAAATTTTATTTCACTCTTTGATTGGATGCCCTCCCAATATGGATGCCCAGGGCCGTCGCAAAAGCTACTAGGTGGAGCAATGTCCAGGAGAATTATTATTGTTTCTATCCGGTTTCTTTTTGCTCTAACTTGATGGAAGTAGGAAAGTCCAGAATGCTTGGTTTCAATGTTGGCAGTCGTGTGAAAAAGAGATAGTTCTTGAGATTGACAGAAATGTCCTGTGACACTCAATGAATCCAGCCTGTCAGCAGGGTGTTATGCAAGGTGGTAGTGATTTTGTAATGGTATAAGGTGTGTTCTGTTAGAGTTTGCAAGCACTACTATGGGTTACATAGCCTCACCAAAACCACAATTGGCTGAAGACATAGTCAATCAGGGAGAGCAACAGAAATAATGATTCCTTTGTTGGGTCACTTTTGGTCCAACTTGGTGGTTGGAGCCAGTGATGTGCAGAGGTTTGATGCCCAAGGCCAAGTTCTTGATTGTATGCCCCTAAGACTCGAGTAGGTGGGTGGGGCCTATAGGGCCTAGTACCGAGAAATATGAAAAAGGAAGACATTTTAAATATGTAAAAACAGATAAAACATGAAATAAACATTTTATTTATTTTATTTTAAATATAAAATATATACACCACTCACCATCCCAAAAAAGACCAACTGAATGAGTGTACCATGTTTTTATACACCTGACCCAGCCAACACTCAGCCAATGAGGCCCAGAACCAATAAAAAATGGCTACAAGGCAACACCACCACCTCCATCAGCGCGAAGTGCTGTCCAATTCACCATCCGTCCGAAGCTTGTCGATTTGCTGTTTCCACACTCCCTTGCAAAACATACACGCGACTCTCACCCTTTTGGGTCATCGAGGTAATTCACCGGTACACCTCTCAATATGGATGCCCGGGCCATCGCACCCTCTGCCCACCTCTTCTGCACACTACTGAGTTACAGTAACTTGCGGCCAACTCTTTGTATGCCCTTTAGACTAAAGTAGAGCAGCCTATAAGGCCTAGTACTGAGACATGTGAGAAAGGAAGACATTTTACCTGAGTTTATAGGATCCAGATCCTATACTGTTATCAAAACTTCAAAAATTGAACAAAATATAAGCTGCAAATTAAATTACACAACTAAGAAATTTGATTGATTAAAAAATATCACATGATATGTCATCTACTATGTCCGCAAGTCTGACTTTAATTTGACCTGATCAAAAGTACATTTGCGCGAAAATTTTAAAACATCTTCTGGAGCCTATCAAGTGACTTATATTGCTTATATAAACAAACAATTAAGAAACAAGAGTGGGGAAAAATCAGCCGAAAAAGCTACACACTATGTGCTGACATCCATCATAAAATAACTTTCAACTGAAGTCCAGACTATGTTAAAAATCTTTTCTTTAACATAACCACAGTCTATTTCTTTCATTCTATGCAAACTAAACATTGACAAACAATGAAACGACAGACTTTCAAGCATCAAAAACAACATAAGTCACACCCACACCCACACACACACTTTTTCAATATACTTTGAACTGTTTATTTTGAACACAAACAATACTACATCGAACTGAAATTTTCCACATTTACACAAATTACCCTACCACTTGCAGTCTATCAAACTGGAACATGGGCACCTTGGCGTAGTGTAATGGTTAGCAAGATTGTCTCACTAAAACAGTTACGACTGAGTAGTGAGTTCGATTCTCACTGGGTGCCTCATACTTTCGTCCCTGTGCCACATCTAAGCTACGCTTAGAAAATCTTTGGGCACCTCGAGTTGGTGTAATGGTTAGCAAGCTTGTCTGGCTAGAACAATTACGACTGAGTAGTGAGTTCGATCCTCACTGGGTGCCCCATACTTTCGGCCTTGTGCCACATCTAAGCTACGCTTGGAAAATCACTATCAAACTGGAACATTACCTCACACAAAATCTAAAAAAAAAACAAGTTTATTTCAACATTTTAAACAACATCGATAATTATTGTTTTGTATATTTGTTGTATAAAAATCTATTTACTTGTACAATTTCTCTTGTCTGAATGTTTCTTGTTTCTCCTTTTTGTTTATTAATTTTGTAGCATTGTGTCTAATATAAATTATTGAGAGCAATTGACCCCCCACAAGTTACAGTTACTTATTACACTTTCTTCTTTTACTACTACAACCAAAACTTCACACTCATAAAAGTAGTAAGCCCCCACCCCTAATTTGCAGCAGTGGTGCATGCACTACAAACTGCTTCAAATTAATAATTTATTTCAATAAAAACCTGAAAATATAAACCATGGATAAATATCTTCATTGCCACGTGTCAAACTATACAAATCTATTATAGTATATTGTGTTTTATTCTTTTGTATTATTCAAGTGGTAACCTGAATACCTAATTATATGTATCCAGGTTACTACTCAATTAATGACACAACTGATAAGCATTTTCATCATGAAAGCCTGAAAGATATTAATTTGAATAAAATAATGAACTGAAAGAGATAAGCTATGAGCAAAGTGAAATTTGCAAAGGCTTTGGCATGGTTGTTTTTATTTAGCTGCATATCAACCTGTATGTGTTATTTAATGCTGAAATCTAAATATGAAAATTCAAATTTTGTAATTAATTCAAGAGAATGACATTATTTCATAATTAAATTATAATTACTTATCTGCATTTTTTAAAAACCAAATAATCTTACAAAATCAAACAAGGAGTGAAAACTTGTTTCTCCTGACAAGATATGAGATTAATCATAGCAAATTCCTTTTTGTATCTGTCTATATTTCTGAGATGAGGTATTTACACTATACGCTATTTACATTAGATGAGGACAATAGTCCGAATAATGTAAATAGTGTAAATTCCCTTTTTTCTAAATTTTTTTTTTTTTTTTTGACATATCTCCAAATTTAAAAATTTACTATAAGAATGTATTATTCATATTTTCTTTATGTATTTCTGGTAATTTCAAAAAATAGAAAAATGTATTGTTGGTAATTTTTTTAAAAATGTATTGCTGGTATTTTTACTATAAAAATGTATTTTTAGTTTCCTAGTGTCTTGATTTTTGTTTGGGGAGATTTCACTATTTGCTCATAATTAGG